TCCCTCAGACCCAGCACCTGGAGCGGCGAACAGCTCCGCGCCTCATTCCTCTGGCCCCGCCCCCCCGCGCCGAGTAGCCAATAGAAACTCTGGCCCCGCCCAGAAGGCCGTCCATTGGCAGCCCCATCCCCTCACCGCGGCCGGTTTCGTCGCTTCCAGGCGAGACCACGTCCCCCAGAGACCCTCGGGGCTTTTGCACGGCCTTCTGGAACTTGCAGTTCTTTAAGGCCATAGCGTGAGCTCATGCCGCGAGCAGGTAAGCAGAAAAGGATTTCATTTACCAGGATGCACTGCCGAAACGGAGGCGCGGAGGAGGGCGGGAGGACAGTTTCCATAGCAAAGGCAGCCCTTTGGGGTCGTCTGACGGAAAAATGAGGCAGGCCGCAGGACCCTCGAAAGACCATGTGTAACCTCGATCAGCCTTCTGGGAGGCTGTTTCGGGTTCCCCCTCCCCTCTCCTCAGGACTCTGGGCCTCAGTTTTCCTATCTGGGAAAAGGGGCGAGAGGCCACCTCTCCGCCCCCATTCCGTGATGATGGTGCTCCTGCCACCCAAAGGTGAGGGAAGGCGGGGGAGATGTTCCCTTTATACCTTTACTTTTGTCTCGATCTTGAAATTGAAGAGTGGTTTACTTTCGGTCACATCTGTGAGACATCCCGTTCGCCACCAAGCTCTTTCCATTCCGTCCCCCACCCCGGGTTCTGGCTGGCGTGGAGCACTGCAACACCTCCCGAGTCGCCAGGGGGCGCTTCCCCGCCTTAAAACTCGACAGGCTTTCTTTCCATTGTCCCCGGAATGAAGCCCACTCGCCCCAGCTTGGCTCAAAAGCGAAACTCCACATTCTTGTAACATTCTGAACTTGTTTGGAAGCTGGAAAGCCTTGAGCAATCGGTCCCCCGCCACTCCCCACCACCCGCACTTGTAGTCCCCTCCACAACTCCCAGCATCTGTCAGGCCCCCCCAGCTGATAATCCTGTCTCTTCAGGAAGCTTTCCTAAATGTCCAGCTCTGGGTTAGATGTCCTTTCCTGTGTTTGAGCAGCGCCCTTTTCATTTTGCGCTCTTACTCTGTGTTTATATATCCTCCTTCCTCACCTAGATCTACAGGGAAGGAGGAAGTCATTATTTTTAGTTGAAGTTCAGTACCTGCTATAGTGTCTGGAATATAGTAGGTGCTCAAGAGCTAGATATTTATTTATTTATTTGAAAGCAAATCAAAGTCACATTAAAACCCTGATTTCCCACGACAGAGCATAACCTATCGCTGAAGGTGTTCAACTAAAGCAGGGGGTCCTCAAACTTTTTAAACAGGGGGCCAGTTTACTGTCCCTCAGACCCGTTGGAGGGCCGGACTATTGTTTAAAAAAACCGATGAACAAATTCCTATCCACACTGCACATATCTTATTTTGAAGTAAAAAACAGGGCAAAAACACCCGCCGGGTTGGATAAATGTCCTCGGCGGGCTGCATGTGGCCCGCTGGCCATAGTTTGAGGACCCCTGAACTAAAGGAATATCACCTTCTTAAGTATCCTTACAGGTCATTCATTCACCAGGTGGGGGTTTTGCCTGAGTGCTTGAGGACCCCTCTAATCCTAGTATGCCAGTGATTGGTAATTCACGCCTCTTCTTCTTTAGAAATCCTGCCCATTCTCCCCTAAATGTCATCAGTTCTTCACATTCCTCTATTTCTAGTTGCTAGCCCTGCAATGTTCATATCTAAATGCCCTCGCTTGTGCTTTTGGGGGAAAGATCTTCTGCCCATGTCAGTTATGAAGTAGAGATCATCTGAGGGTCCCTGCCCATCTTTCAGTCCTTTACTCAGCAACTAGTGGCTGAGCAGTGATTTTCTGCCTTGTTAAATAGAATCTTTCCCCACTTAGGGCCCTAGGGTTGGCCAGATGGTCCAATGAATCCCACACATACTTCATATGTCACCCTACCCAGGCATTTGGCGTGTATTTAAAATAAGGCATTCTGGGGAGAATGTCTTAATATGTAGGAATTATTAATTTGTAGTAAAAGAGGAAGTATATTATTTTGTGGTAAAAGATAAGTATATTATCCCAAACCTAATCCAAACCAAAAAAGGAACAATTTCTTGGAAAGGCTGAAGTTGTTAGGGTACCTGAGAGACTGCAATCAGGTCATCCTATTCAGCTAGTGGTTGAGGGGTGGGGATAGCAGGATAAGATAGAAGAATGAGTAAAACCAATGGCATTTAGGGAAGAACTTCTGAGAGGCTGGCCCAGGGGCTTTGATCCTGGACAAACCCCAAGGGATGGCAATTGGAGCTGAGTGAACAGATGGGGCCTCATTACGAATGACAAGAAAACTGTAAGGAGGCAGGGGAATCGGATGTGTTTGGAAGCAGGGTCCTTCCTTCTGTGGATGCAGCTGGTGTGGGGAGCACCATGCCACAGGGTAGGAAGGGGCTACCAAAGACCACCTGGAGACAGAGTGGGAAGGCTTTGGAGGTTCATGTTGCTCCTCGGGTAGTACTGAGGAAGTTGTTAGAGATAGGAAAAAGTCAGTGTTCCTCAGTTCTACCAGAAAACAGCAACCGAGATAGAAATTAGTCCTATCAAGGTAAGAAAGCTGGGTTCTAATTCTGATTTTGCTTCTGATTAGATGTATGTGTGACACTGAGCTAGACATGTTTCTGCAGTTGTCAAAAGCTGCTGATTGGTGTTAGGGAGGTGAGGACATTCAGACCCATGTACTCCGTTGTGACCTTACCCAACCTACTTTCTCTGACCTGCAATTTGCTGTTTTAAAAATGTGAGTGATATCTAATATGCTGGATGTACAACACTTCATTCATGTTAAGCATTTAACAAATGGTAGCCCTACTGCCACACTTTCTTAGGGTGGCTGTAACTGGCTTGACGATGAATAAACAGAATTGGATAGCCTGATAACCTGGGTTTGAATCCCCACTCCCTCTACCTCTCTCATTAGTTATATGACACTGGTCAGGTTATTTAGTATTTCCTCTTTCTGGGTCCCTGTGCTCCCATTTAGGAAATGGTAAAGATATGTTCTTCAGAACTGTGAGGATTAAATGAGATCGAGTACTTGATTCATATAAGAAAATGCTCAATGTACTTGTTTTGCTGTTTTGTTTTGTTAGGAGTGGATGTAGGGCAGAGAGGGGATTGGAATTCTAGATGCTTAGAAGATAACGTTGTGACAGATTCTGAAAGAGAACTGAGTCAACTCTCTCACCTTCTTTAAAAGGATTTAACCAAAATTCTTAATCTCAGATATGGGGTGGGAGAGATTGGTTAAGACTCGGTCCCGAAGAGCCTAGTAGACCATGCTGAGGAGTATAACTTTATTATTCTAAAAGTTGCTGGGTTTCTGTTGTTGATGTTGCAGTGAGGTGTACTTCGAGGTCTAAGGAAGCTCTGGTGGCGTGGTGGTTACAAATTGGGCTGCAATCTGCAAAGTTAGCACTTTGATTCCACTAGTCACTCCTTCGGAGAAAGATGGGGCTTTCTACTCCCGTAAACAGTCTTGGAAACCCACAGTGTACTCTGTCCTATAGGATCACTATGAGTTGGCATCAACTCAGTGGCAATGAGTTTGGTTTTATTTTTTTTCCCTGATTTTAAGGGCTACATGGAGAATGGACAGGAGAAGATAAGGCCTGGATGTGGTTTGAGAAGCTGCTGAATGATCCAGCACAATGCCCGTGTGGATAGAGAACAGGGGGCTGGATCTGAGATGCATTAATGAGGTAATGCATATTCATAGAACTTTTTAAGTGATGGGTTGAGAGGGGTGAGTCAAGGACAATGCCCAATTTTCTGGGTGGATGGATGGTGATGTCCTCTTCTTTAGATGTAGAATAATGATGGAGCAGGTTTAGGTGGGAAAAGAGAAAGAAGAATTTGGGATGTGGGGTATCCAAGTAGATGATTTGGAGCTTATGAGAAAGCTCTGATCTAGAGATAAAGTCATAAGTTCAAAGCATTAGCATGCAGATAATAATTGAAGCCATGGGAACAGGTGAAATTCTTCAGCAGAGAGAATGAAAGAGAAGAATTAAATCCCTGAGGAAATACCAACATTTAAAAAGCAGGTGGAGAAGAGTCCAGAGGGAGGGGTGAAGGGAACAGTGAGATAGATAGGGGGGAAATTAGGAACTGCTGTGTCACAGAGTCAAGGGAAGAAGGAGGGTGACATAGTGTAAGTAAGTCCCAATCTGAAAAAGCGAACAACAGATTTAGCAACGAAGAGGTCACTGACAACCTTGCAGAGAATACGTTCAGTAGTGTAGCAGTGGCAAAAGTCTGAGTAAATGGGAAGTGGATGTAGGCAGCTTTGGGGAGTGGATTGATTTTTGAAAGGGAGGAAGAGAGAAAACTAGAGGGGATGTAGCATTGAGGGATGATTTTTAAATGAAGAGAGATTAAGACATTTTAAAAGTATTCTTTCATTATTGGAAAATACATGTTATCATATATATAGCACAAGACTTGCCAATTCATTGTTGTTGGTTTTTTCATTGTTTTTTATATATACAATCTAGTGAAATCAGTTGCATTAATCACTTGTGCGATCATCACCAATAATCATTGCCAAATTTTATAGTACCATAAACAGAAACTAGCTAGTTAAGATTGAGATGTCTTGTTTCTTTATTTTGTAACTTTTTATTGTAAATTGGGTAAAGGTTTATAGAAGAGATGGTTAATTTTACATTCAACAATTCATATACATTTTGTTTCGGCTCATCCATTGCAGCCCCCTCAATGTGCTACCACTTATCTCCCTTCTTTCCTGTTCCCATTCCTTCTTCTTTCCTAACCCTCTGAACTCTGTCCTTGGGGAAATGCTGACCTTTCGATGTTAAATGGCTGATTATGGTAACATGGGGGAGGGGAGGAGTTCAGGTTCAGACATGAAGGGTGACTAAGGATTGCTTTCTTGAGGGTCCTGCCAGTTTCTGTCTGATCAGCAAGCCAGGTCTTTTTTATGACTTTGAGTTTTGTTTCATGGTTTCCTCCCACTTTATCAAAGACCTTCTAATGTGATCCTTTTCAGAGTCATTGGTAGTGGTGGCCAGCCCCCAACTGGTCTTAGGGTTGTGGAGACTGATGTTTGCATTTCCCATGAGTCCATTGAACTAATTGTTTCTATATGTTTTTTTATATTCATCCCTCTTCTTTTCTCCCGATGGGGAGAGATCAGTGGTTGTTTCTTAGATGGTTGCTCATGAGCTGTTAAGACCCTGGTCACTACTCACCAAACCAGGATGTGGAACATTGTCTTTATGAACTATGATATGTCAGTTGACCACAGCGTCTCCTGAAACTATGATCCTGATCCTCCAGTGACTCATTCTCTCAAGGAGTTTGGTTATGTCTAAGAAGTTTTCATAACTTTGCTGCCTGTATGCTCCACCACATTCATGGATATATTTGCAGCCAAAGTCAATATGACTATACAAATACCTTCTGTCAGACATATATGTATTTATGAATATATTCCCACTCTCCCTCCCACACCTGTTCAGCCTATGTCTGTCCAAGCATTTACGGATAGATCACTACTACTGCAGAATTGTGTATATATTTGCCTCTATTACCTGTACTTCTTGCAAACCTCTCACTCTCAGTGTCTTTCTCTGCCTCCATCATTTTTTGCCAACTTCTCTCTCAACCTCTTTCTCATTGTATATAGCCTTCCCCTCTGCCGCACTCTCTCCCCCTTCCATCCTTGGTAACTATCAAAGAATGCTCCTTTTCTCTGTTTGTTTGTTTTTTTATAATAGTGGTTTTCATACAATGTTTTTTTAACTGACTAATTTCACTCAGCAGAATGTTCTTCAGGTTCATTTATGAGGTGTTTTGTAGAGTCATTGTTATTTTTTAATGTTGTGTAATATTCCATTGTGTGTATGCACCAAAATTTATTTATCCAGTCTTCCGCAGATGGACATTTAGGTCATTTCTATCTTTTTGAATAGTGCTGTGATGAACATGTGCACATAGCTGTTTTTGTCACAGCTATTATTTCCTTAGGATATATAGCAAGTAGAGAGATTGCTGGGTCATGTGATAGACTTTTTTTCCCACCACTCATCTGTCATTTTGTCATACTGTGGTGGCTTGCATATTAATGTGATGCTGGAAGCTATGTCACCAGTATTTTAAATACTAGCAGGATTACCCATGGTAAACAGGTTTTAGCAGCATGTGCAGACTAAGAACAGATAACAAAGCAGGACTAGACTGTCCATTTCTGGTGGATTAGCCACTGAAAACCTTACAACTAGCAGTGGAACATTGTTGGATAGATACAGTGGTGGAAGATGAACCCCTCAAGTTGGAAGGCACTCAAAATGAGACTGGGGAAGGGTGACTTCCTCAAAGCCAAGTTGGTGTTAATTATGTGGAGAGAGTAAAGCTTTCCAGACCTTATTTGCTAAGAAGGCATGACTCAAAATTAGAAGAGACAACTACAGACATCGGTTAATAATCAGAACATGGAATATATGAAGCATGAGTCTAGGAAAATTAAAAGTTGTCAAAAATGAAATGGGATGCATAAAGATTGATGTCCTAGGTATTAGTGAGCTGAAATGGACAGGCTGTTTGGGTTTTTTGGGGGGTATTGGCCATTTTGAATCAAGACAATCATTTGGCTTCCTGTGCCGGGAATGACAAATCTAAGAGGAATGGAATCACATTCACTCTCAACAATATATCAAGGTCTGTCTTGAATTACAGTACAGTCTGGGATAGGATAATATCTATACACGTACAAGGAACTCCATTTAATACAACTATTATTCAAATTTATATACCAACACTAGCTAGTGATGAAGAAATTGACAAATCCCCCAACTTTTCCAGTCTGAAATTGATCAAACATGCAATCAAGATACATTAATAAGTACTAGCGATGGGAATGAAAAGTTAGAAACAAAGAAAGAGAACCAGTAGTTGGAAAATACGGCCTAGGTAATAGAAATGAAGCTGGTGATTGCATGATAGAATTTTGCAAGATCAACCACTTCTTCATTGTAAATACTGTTTTTTCAACAACATACATGATGACTGTGCACATAGATTCCTCTGGATGGAATCCATAGAAATCAAATTGACAATATCTGTGGGAAGAGACCATGGAAAAGCTCCATATCAGCAGTCATAACAAGGCTAGGGCTGACTGTGTAACAAATGATTAATTGCTTATTAGCAAGTTCAAGTTGAAGCTAAAGAAAATTAAAACAAGTTCATAAAAACCAATTTTAAAAAAAGAGCCAATATACAACCATGAGTACCGCCTATCTGAATGTAGCAAACATATCAAGAACAGATTTGGTACATTGAATACTAATGACTGAAGAGCTGATGAGTTGTGGGATGACATCAAGAACATCATAGATGAAGAAAGCAAAAGTCCATTAAAAACACAGATAAGATTGACTCCCCAAAAATTAAAAAAAAAAGACCAAAGTAGATGTCAGAAGAGACTCTGAAATGTGCTTTTGAATGTAGAATAGCTCAAGGAGATGGCAAAAATAATGAAGTGAAAGAGCTGAACAGAATATTTCAAAGGGCAGGTAGAGAAGGCAAAGTATTATAATGAAATGTTCAAAGACCTAGGGCTAGAAAGCAAAAAAAGAGAATATGCTTAGTATTTCTTGAGCCAAGAGAATTGAGGAAAAAATTCAAGCCGTGATTTGTACTATTGTAGGATATCATGGGCAAAATGTTGAATAATTCAGGAACCATCAAAGGAAGATGAATGGAATACCCAGAGTCACTGTACCAAAAGGAATTGACCATTTTGAGGAGGTATCATATAATTAAGAACCAATTATATAAAGGAAGAAGTCCAAGCTACTCTGAAGGCAGTAGCAAAAAACAAGGTTCCAAGGCTTGACAGAATCTCAATTGAAATGTTTTAACAAACTGATGAAGCACTGGAAGACTCATGCATCTATGCCAAGAAATTTGGAAGACACCTTCCTGGCCAACCAACTGGAAGAGATCTGTGGTAGTTACATAAATCTGGTGTCAACTTAAGACTATTAAGAGTGAAGGGGTGGGGTTTAGCCTGTCAATCAGGTCACAGCTTGATGACCTCATTTGGAGGAGCTACGAAGATTAAAAATAGCTCATTGGAGGCCAGACCTATACTCTCGCTGAGAGACATTCCTGTTAACAAGACACATGGAGCTAAGCTGATGGAGCTAGAGCCCTGGAGCTCAAGGAGCCACATGGAGACTCATGCAAAGAACCGGATGCTTCCACTGCCACTGGATCCACAAGCCTTTCCAGCCCGTGATCTTCCTGCATGCAGCGTTATTACAAGGCTGCGTGAGTCTGAAGAGGAATTTATAGACTGGTATCGAACATATAGGCTAATATTGGACTTATGGACTTGATCTGGGCTGGGATGTTTTCTCAATATACAATTACTCTTTGATATAAAGTTCTCTCTTACACACATATCAATGTCTATGAATTTGTTTCTCTAGTCAACCCAGACTAACACAAGATCCATATTTGTTCCCATTACAAAGAAAGGTGACCCAACAGAATTCAGTAATTATTGAACAACATGCAAGTAAGGTTTTACTGAAGGCAATTACAAAATGGTTGCAGCGGTACATGAACAGAGACCTGCCAGAAATTCAAGCTGGATTTAGAAGAGATCATACCACAAGGATCTTGGCTGAAAGCAGAGAACACTAGGAAGATTTTTACATGTGGTATACTG